TGACTTTGTGTTAAACTAATCCTAAAGTAATAATGGTATTTCTAACCACTGATATACCACAACTTTATCCTTTCAACAGCTGCTGAAAGTTAGGGGACCTAACTGCTATCGGATATTTATATAGAGATCCTCCAGCTTCAAACTGTATTACCCTTCAAGGACCTGCAGTTCAAAAAAGCACCCCTTCGACAGCCAAACCCATCTGTTCTCTGATTGGATAGTTAAATTTGTGATTGACATGACATTGGCCAATCAGATGAAAGGAAGAAAAATAGGGTCAAAATTCGTACTTGTAACTTGCAGGGTTTTTTTTTTTTTTTTTTTTTTGGCTTGGCTAAGTCCACACACAAATCTTTTTTTTACACACACACAAATCTTTTTTACACATACAAGTCCTGATTTACAAGTACAAAATATTTATGACCACATTTTGAGCCCATATATACGTCCCTTAAGATAACTCAAGTATAGGATCTGAAATGATCTTGGAATCATATATTTCACCGAGTCTTTCACCAAGCTTACCTAGAGCTGAATGAATCCCAGTTTTATTTTCCCATATGTGAGTGTGGTTTGGTTCCATATGACCACATTTTAATAATTTCCAGCATGGCTGTTTAGTGTTTGTCTGTTTGCTTGTAATTTGGAGCATTAAAGTCAAGAATCTGGTTCTTCCAACTAAATTCCCTCAATTTCAGTGATTGTGTTGTTGATGTGTTATCCACATGTGGTATCAGATCTCTTCTGGGATTTCTTCATCCAGCTCCCGTTCGAATTTATTTTTCATATATAAGGTTATAATGTATATGATCTCTAGATTCGGTCAGATGACAGACACTCGTGTGGGAACTGTTTCTCAGTAAGATGTTCCAAGTGTCTTTATAACAGGATGCATTTTAGCCTAATTTATCTTTATGCCATTTATGTAGTAATCCCATATCATGGTTTTGTACACAAAGCCATGTTTATAATTTTTAATTGTAGAATTTTATATGTGATGTCCAGATCACAATCCTAATAGTTTGTGTTGGAATAAGTGAACAACCTCTGCATTGCCGCAGACAGCCTGTAATAGTTTCTATGCCCTTAGAAACCAATGACATCATAATAGATTTTACCTGAATATAAATACTATTAGGGCTGCCACGATTAGTC